TTAAGGTTTTTTTATTTATTTATTTATTTTTTATATAATGCAAACATACAACATACATACAAATTTTTATGCTCAGTTACTGTAGTTATATTATTTATTATTATATTATATTATATTATGATAATATATTATAGTACTCGTTATTTAGAAAATTATTTTTCCTACACTGTTTCACAAATTGCATAAATTTAGTTATTATGTTCGTCAATTTCCTTCAAATAGTCAATACAATCGTGAAAAGCACGACAACGACAGACAATCCTGGAGCTGTGCCCTCACAGCATCACCAAATAAATTGTGAATTTCAATTATGATTTTAGTGAATTTCAAGTTTATTTTTTGCTGATAAAAAAACTACAATCAATCAATCCATCAATCAATCCATCAATCAATCCATCAATCAATCAATCGATTGATCAATCAATCAATCAATCAATTAGTTTATAAAGCGATATTTCCGCGATGTTCAACAGCTCTTCTCAATGAATTGCAAACAGATGGGTCTTGAGATCCAATCTGAACTTCGTAAGTGATGGAGAAGTAGTCGGAGAAGGAGGTAGAGAGTTCCATGGAAAAGGGCCAGAAAATTCGGAGTGAATGGGGAAGGTTTATATGTTGTATGATATTTGGTACATTTTATGTCTTTTTCGTAAACAGCCTAAAATCTGGTCAAATGGATTTATTCTACTATTTTCTTTGCCGGTGGAGTTTGATGTCTGTTTAGCACATGTTCCAAAAGTTTAATTTTAGGCTTCGTCTTACTAATTTTTCAAATATTTTCATCTTCTGAAGAACTTTGTGCCAAGGTTATACTCTCTGCTTTCTTAACTGTAGGTGCGTGTAGATGTTTTCGAAATTTCACAATTGCTTTGACGCCTACGAATTGGATGAAATAGTTTATTAGTAGCCGCGACTTGAAGTTAGTTGGTGATGAAGTACGTCAGCTTTTTGTTATTTTTCTTCGAAAGCCACGAAAAATAATTGAAATTGTGCAATTGGATCTTGATAAAACCGACTTCCCTTCAATGTCACCCTCAAATTTCATGAAAATAAAAATTTTTGAAAAGAGTGAGTGATTCGAATCCGGTAACTCCAAATTGTGGACTTTAAACATTTCATTTACCCGTCTCTTGACCGTGCCAGAAATGGAAGTACGTATGCATGGAATGGAGAGCAAGATGGTGTAGTGGTAGTGCTGCTTGCTGTTGGTGCCGCGGAGCTCAGTTTCAAATGCCAAAGCGTTCATTGATTATTACTCGAGTTGTATGATGCATTGTTTTGCATTAATACCTTTAGGTATATTGCGAATGTGGCAACATAAGTTACGAATGTGGCAACATAAAATTTTATGTTTTTATGTATAGATGCGTTTTTGTGTGGATAAGCAGGTGTGTTTGCATCGTCCGTGTCCTGTGCATCGTCCGTGTCCATGTTTTGTATGAATTTAAATAGGGTGAGTTTGCATGTTGTATCACACGGACGAAACTATATTTTTTTTGGTAGATCTAGTTTTTTTTTTCAAATTATTTTACATATTCATGACATTCAAATAATGAGTAAAATGTATGTGCTTGCGTTCAAGTTTTCACGGATGGTTCACGCAAAAATGTTTAAATAATATATTAAAAATATAAATTAATAAAATTGAGAAATAAATATAAAGAAACAAACAATAAAATAGAAATATTTCAATAATATAATAAAAAATAAAAAAAAATAGAATTGCCTATCTTCATCTTTAAAATGTTTTAACGTCTGGAGGCAGAAGGAATCGAAGTGCAACTGCATCATACGGTAAATCATTTCCGCTCTGTTTAAAAATTTTTGAAATACTCTTTAATACTCTTCAAAAGAAATTGAGTTACTTTAAAAAATAATAAATTGCCATCTTATATGAGTGTTCTTCCCAAAATTTGTTCAATTAAAATTTTTAATATTTTCAATAGACGATCATTTGAAAGATGATAGCTGCCAACTTTGCTTGAACTGATAACAAGACGACGTTTATGAGAGAAAAAATCTACTAACTCGACAAATTTCAAAAAAATCTTAAAAACTGAAAAATATAATTTCTTAGAAACTAATTACATGACTATTAAAGTAATTTTTCAAACTTCTAGCACACTTTTACAACAGTAAAATTCAAACTTTCTGATTTTGGTCATCATCATCACCAATTTGGATAATTTTTATTTAAAATGTGGGAGGCCCTTTATTGTGTAGGCCCTGGACGGTACCTCGCCTCTGCTTACTCCAAAATTTGGCTCTAAGCAGCAGAACTCAACAGGGCACAACAACTTAGAGCGAAACAAAAATGCAGACGTTTCATTATTCATGACCAGTTACGCCCCATCAATTTATACCGTTTTTTCAAAAATATTCCATTGGAAATTTATTTTCATAAAATTTTTTATCATTTTTCAAGGCAATGAGTGGTCAAATTTTGACAAACTACAACAACAACAACAGCATTGGTTGGTTGTGAATTGTAAATGAAACTCAAAACACTGCTGAACGCATTCTAATTGATTGACTGGTTTACTGGTTAATCGTTTTATAGATTGAATAATTTAGTTTACTTATGAAATATTTTATTGGTTGATTAGTTAGTTAGTTTTTTGTTTAGTTAATTAACTATTTGATAATTAGTTTTTTGTTTAGTTTATTAACTGATTGATAATTAGTTTTTTGTTTAGTTAATTAACTGATTGATTATTTGAATAATTGATTGAGAAATTAGTTTATTGATTTGTTAATTTTTAAAATTGTTAACTGGTTGATTGTTTAAATGATTGATTAATTAACTAATTGATCAAGTAATTAGTTGATTGATTCGTTGGTTTAAAAAATAGTTAACTGGTTGACTGGCTAGTCGACCAACCACTGTCGCCTTGAAACGAGCTTCAAACGGCCACCTACGTGTCACTGATAACAAATTTTTACATCTCCAAGTTACAGCCGACATCATCGTCGTCACCAACACAATAGTCCCAACAATACTATAAATGTTATCATCATCATCATCATCCTGCTCATCATCATCATCATAGTAGTAGTACCATGCATCATAGTAGTATGACTACCAGCATCATCGTCGTTATCACCATCATCTTATTTTCCATCACTATAAGCAATCCTAATATATCGACAATCAACTAGGTAGGATGGATAGCAAACACGATGTATGTACAAACAATTGTGTACGTGTGTATGTGTGAATGTATGTTTGTGTGTACTGACCTGTATGTATGCATGTAAGTATGTGTGTTTGTTGTGTGTGTGTGTTGTGTGTGTGTAAGTGTATGTGCACGTAAAAACACTAAAACGTATTAAAAAATTAATTAACCTGATCTCTAGCCGAAGATAAAGGACTAAATAGATAGATCAGTCACAAATTCGTTGCAACGACAAACCACAGTAACAAGACAAACACATCAGCAATATTTACAGAAAATAGATTAACAGCAACAACACTAACAGCGCAACAAAAAAGACAACTGTCACCTAAACATCAACAACAACAACAAACATGACATCAACAACAGTTACATCAACAACAAAATTTACAACAACAACAACATTTTCTGCAGTTTAAAATAAACAACAACAACAACAACAATTACCTAAATAACAGTGGGCATCTTAACTAGTGAGGTCTCCGTACTATCAATCATTATCATCATCAACCTTCTCGAGAACAACACTTTTATCATCAACGGCATAATTAGCATCATCATCAACACCACCTCGTAATCATCATCATCATCACCAACAACATCATCACCAAAACTATCACATCATCATCATCATCACCAGAATACATGATGACGTCATTAACATTCATTTCAACGAACAAAAACAAACCTTCTACTCAAGGGCCTAACTCCGTGACGTCATGCGAAACGGCCATTATTCATCATCGCTCGTAGAAAAAAAAACCCAGAAAAAAAATATAATTGTACGCCTACGCAGAAAACAAAGTCAAATTAGTAGAGATGAGTGAGGATTGATTCGACCGAATACATAACTTCAATACTTGTCGGATAGTTGAGAATGTTTGCAACGTCTCAGTCGGAGACTGATGGTTGAAGTCTGGAGTCGGTTGAGGTTGGAGTTGAGGATTAAGAAGTTGAGAAATTACTCGAATAACTTTGCAATGCCTTTCATTTGAGAATATTTTAAATTATTTTCATTAATATTTTTACGATGGAAGCCAAACTGCTGTTAAAATATTGTAGTCACTCCACCGAACAACAAGAACAACAACTCAGTACACTGGTCAGTAAAATAAAATGGAAGACAAACTGCTATTAAAATAAACTAAACTCCACTAAACAAGAACTACAACTCAACACACTGGTCAGCAAAATAAAATGACCACTGCGGATATAAAAAAATCCGACAAAAACCCACGACCAATCTCGGCACACACCCCCCTCTTTCGGGCATCCGTGGCCTCAGCCCCGGGCACATTTTTGTCGTCTGCCTGGCTGACAGCCCCCAGTGAAAATGACGAAAGTGAACTTCGATGTTACTCGTCCGGTAGCAACACCCTTAACATTAATTTAAGGAGTTCTCTCTCGACAATCAACAGTGAAGGTATGTGCAGTTGAGTAGGTACGTTTCTTTGAACTGTTCAGTGCACGCGCACTCGAATACCTTTGTACTTTAGTGCATTTGTACTGTAGAATAGAAACAAGTTTATACTCAAGTACTGTTGTAGCAGTAATTAAACATTTGTAGCAATAATTAAACATTTGTAACAATAATTAAACATATTTGTAACAATAATTAAACATATTTGTAACAATAATTAAACATTTGTAACAATAATTAAACATATTTTTAACAATAATTAAACATTTGTAACAATAATTAAACATTTGTAACAATAATTAAACATATTTGTAACAATAATTAAACATATTTGTAACAATAATTAAACATATTTGTAACAATAATTAAACATTAATGTAATTGCAACAATTATACAAATACAGACCGATATTATTTGCCCTACAATTACATTTACCACAGTTACGTTAGTTCTATTAATACGACTATAAATACTACTGCTGCTACTACTAATACTGCTTCTACTGCTGCTACTGCAGTGACTACCACTGGGGCTACTACTACTGATACCGTTTCAACTGTTACTTACAATGCTGCTACTTCTACCATTGCTAAAATTGATAGTATTCTTAAAAGTGCTCTGAACAAGTTGAGATTATTGATATGACTTCATTGGAGTTTACATTTTTTGATGTTGTAGTAGTAAAATAGATTTTCCAGAGCTATTTATACTTTTTCTAATATAATTATATTTCTAATAAATTTAAAAAGATTATTTTTTGACACAACGATGGTAATAATAATAATTATTATTATTATAATTATACATAATAATAATGAGAAAATAACTGCTATAAATTTTTTCCTGGAACTTTCTCTCTCAGGGGTCCGCATGATGAATCGTTTGCGTTCAAAAATGTTTCATCCCAGTTCTATTCAAACGACTTTTTTTACATTCATCATCAGTTTGAAATGCTCTATTTGGATCTCTTCCTCTCTTCATCTCTCTCTCTTTATTTTTTTCTTTTGCCCCTTTCTATCTCTCCCTCTCTCTCTTTTTATTCTTTTCCTTTCCTTTCACCTTCTTATTTTTCAATTTCTTTCACGATCTTTTTTTCTCCGTCTTGCTTACTACTTAATAATAATTCCAGGCATAATTATCATTATATAAACATTTCTACGAACATGTGGACATTATATAAACATGTGATGTGAACAAATTTATAAACACGTGAACATTATATAAACAAGTGAACATTATATAAACATGTGAACATTATATAAACATATGAACAAATTTAGAAACATGTAAACATTATATAAACATGTAAACATCATATAAACATGCGAATGTTGTATAAGCATACACACACATGCGCGCTCAAACAATGACAAAGATAGCTTGTTTATTTTATTCTCAAAAATTTGAGAGTCGAAGGCGGGTTGGTAGCATTTGAAATGAAATGCTTCGGGAAGTTGTAGGGAAAAAGTGGAAACAAATACCATCTTGGAAAGTAAGAATTATTAAAAAAAATTAAATTTTCTAAACATAAAGAAAGACTTTGAAGAAAGTGCGACAAAGAATTGGACGTCGTTTTTATTTATGGATTAAATTAAAATGTTTCACGGATTGCCTGCTGGACGCTGAAACATATCATGTGAACGTTTCACAAAATTTAATGATTAAAATAATTCATTGAATATTTTTAATGATTCAATGGAAAACGTTTTCCACTTAGTTTCAGTATGTTGTCCTTCTGTTATGAAATTAGTGCAAAATGGACAAGTGTGTTACTTCTTCTTTGTGTACGCTTTTAATCTCCAACAAGCCAATGCGAGCGACAGATTGTTCCACGATCACTTAACTACCTGGGGTAAGTACTTAGAGCCAGGTAAAATGTGTTCTCTTGATTGCAGAACGAACGAAGATTTCGATAATTTCATGCATTTGTTTCAAATATTGTTAAGAAACATCAGCAACAAACACACACAGTGCACGTGAATACAAGCGAGACAACGCATCACACACTTTGCATGTGATGGACGGGGTCTCTGCAATTGAATCTAGTTACTGCTATAACAGTGTCAGACACTTTACCGCTACACCATAGCGCCGCCCGTAATTGCGGTTCTTTTTAACCGTAGAAAACTGAATTTATAAAATACTAATGAGATCTTAAGAAAAGATTTCAATCGAAATTCATGTATAAACTACTGTCTTGTTTTGCTTTTGTTAAAAAATAAAGGCATGATTTCTGTAACAACATATTTACTTAATGTTGAATAGTTTGAATGGCACGGTACACTGGGTGCCCTTGAACTACTTTTTGCTCATAGATAAGCTCGTATCTTGACCTTGACCCTGACCTTGTGCTGCCAAGTTTACAGCAATGCTTGCTATCTTTTTCTTCTATTGAAAAAATATAGATGGATGTTACTTTCGATTTGTATGCATTTGCGAAAGAGTCGCAGAAGGATTCAGGTTCCAAGTCCAAACTATCATTGTCTGCAATTAAAAATTAAATTTGTTGTTGCTAATTGATCACAGGGGCGTCATTTAAGATTTTGGTAGGGGGGGCGAACTTATATGGTCTATGACTTAGCATGTAACATATATATATATATATATATATATATATATATATATATGTATATATATATATATATATGTATATATATATATATATATATTATATATTATTAATAAAGATCACGGCGTTTCTTACAGTACTCAATCTATATGATAGTTTCTCGATTCTTCGAATAATTCTCCGATCTACTAAACTTAACTTGTTAATGCTATTAACAAAATTCCTATTTACAGAAGATGTCATAATCTACATGTATGCATATAGTACTATTTCCACTACCTAGTCTCGTCAGTGCAACATTATAATAAATTATAATAAATTATACATTTTTAAAGTTTTTAAAATTTCAAAATTTTTAAAGTTTTAAAATTACTAAATTATATATCCTATATATATCCTTTTTTACAAAGAATTTAAAATTAACACTTTTATAATTTAAAACAGAACATGAATTATTGTAGGAACAAATGAAATAAATTGTATAGCGCTTGACATTTAAAAATTCAAAAAGCACAATATTTTGTATATATAATTATAACAAATTATATAATTTTATATAATTATTTTATAGTGTTTGCAATTTTGTCATAATAATTTCGTACAGCAAAAATTTAGAATTTTGATTTCTTGGGGGGGGGCAATTGCCCTCCTTGCCTCCCCCCAAATGACGCCTCTGATTGATCATCACCATGCCTGCCGTTTGAAAAATTGGATTCAGCAACTACGAAGTAACTACTTTTTACCTCAATTTAATTAGTTCTATTTTGAAAGAGGGGAGAATTTTTCAAATTATATTTTAAATTTAACGAGACAATCTTGTTCGTTTCGAAAAATTTAACAAATTCGCCGTTACGTAGAATTATAATGAGAAAAAAAAACATGAAAGACTTGTCACTATTCTGAATGATGATCAAATTAGAGGTTACTTTTGAGATGACTAAATTTAAATTAATTGCTAACACAAAAAATTATAATTCGGTAAAACAAACAACATTAAAACCAGCACGTACTTTAATCTATTTGCATCTACGCACATACAAAGCGTCAATTGGTGTAAAAAAAATTGTAAAATGTAACAATCAGGTGTTAAAGAAAAAGACGTTAGCCCGGAACGATCGTCAGTCACCAACAACCACAACAACGATAATATCAAAGATAAGAAACGAACCGACAAAACCGACCCAACAACCGCCAACAATACTACAACCGACCAAGCTTCCAGTACTTATTACGATTCTTCCGTTAAGAGCTGGCCTATTAAGCGTAGCAAAAACAGAGATCCAAACAGTGACGTTACAGTATCTCAGTGGAGGTCACTGGAAAACTTGAGTCGTGCTCTCCTGCTCGTTGCTTTCGTCTCATTCTCAGTTGGCATCGGATTAACCACAGCTGGATTTGCTACAAATGGACTTCCGGTCAACACGCGCGTATCCTTACAAATCGCCGGCCCAGTCATGCTGGCGGGTGCCGTCGTAGCTTCGTCGTTGGGGTATTTTCTGGGAAAGCTGTGGAAAGGTGAGTGGAAGCAGAGACAGCTGGAAATGGAAAGTGCGGTCAGGAACAAAATCGATAAAATGGCAAAAGAACTGCAAGAACAAATTTATCAGCATCACCAGAGAGATTATATAACGTACGAGTATCCACAGCGATCGCAGAAGTGGCTGCCCAAGTTGTCGCCATCGTGCAGCAAGATTGTTGAAGGAGTGCTGCACGAAATTGGATCCAATTTGGAAGACAAGGCTGCTACGAGATTGTCCGAAAACTTCAGGTGTTCATTGGTTAACTATTTGAATACCTAATTTTATTTCTTAAAATGGTCAAATTTTAAATAAGTTTAAGTAATGAGTTAAATTAATATCATAAAATACTACGAACCAGGTTCATTTACCAAATGATAAAAACATTATTCATGAAGGCAAACACGAAACACATTTTTATACAATCCATTCTACTGTTAGCACCGAAACTACAACCGCCAATTCAAGGAGGTCTAGCTCCCGTTTGAACAGCCTGGCTGAGATATCCTGGCGTGCGAGGGACAGTGTCAGTAGTGTCTTGCTGAAGCAAGAAATTGAAAACCAACTCCAGGGGTTACAGAGCAGTCCCAATCAAATCCCTGGCATTCAAATCAGTCGCATTGAAACGATCGACTTGGACCGGGCGTCAGCCGGTAGCAGTGGCAGCTCCATGAAGCGATTCATCATCGTTCACGGTGATCTAACGAGCAGTCAGTTCTCTTTCACGTCTGAATATTCGCTTCTATCTTCGAATGCCAGAAGTCGCTCGAGTAATGAAGCGAGTTTGCTAGAGTTTTCACCTAGAGAGTCTGAATGGGATGCAGACGTTTCGCTTTGCAGTCGAGACTCCCAGACGAGCATCGCCTACAGTCGCAGCAGTCGAGGTAGCGGACGAGAAGTTGGCCGAATTTTCTACCATCAATACCTTCAACAACAACCACAGCAGCAGCAGCAGTCACTGCTTATACCGCCTTCTCATGACAGGTACGTGGGAAAATATTCAAATATTCTTACGAGTCCTCGTCGCCATTCGAGTCCTTTGTCGTCGCAGAACAGAAAAAATAACAGCGAGTGCAAAAGTGGTCGATTTACTGATCGCTATTTTGATAGAGTTTACAGCAGCAGGCCTCTGGTAGACAACACAGACTCGGAATCGAGTCTCAACAACCGGCATCCATACAATCCTCCTTACTCATCCTGCTCACCACTGCTACTGAAGATCAACTCAAACAACCAATCCAACAACATAACGAAAGAAAACCTTAACAACAACAACAACAAAAACCACATTAACAATAATAACAACAACAATAGTAGTAGTAACATTAATAATAACATTAACAACGAATCTAAACCTGAATCGACAAACCAACAACTCTACTCGTACCACAAGCAGTTGCTACAACAACAAAGCCAGCAGTGCTTGTTTAATGATAGGATGAAACCCTGGTTCCGCAAAAGAAGCGACCAATCCATTATATCAATGAAAATTAACGAGCACGAAGACGACGACGATGATGAAAATGACGTCAACAAAAATATCAAAAAACCGGAAATTGTTAACTCTCTTGAAGATAATTTGACTACGGAGAGAAATTCCATTGAAAAGGATAAAAATGCGGAAAATAATTGCACGGAGTTGCGTGATGATGATTGCAATGCTGCTGGGAAACAACGAATTAATGCGTCAGTGACAACCAGCACAACTATTGATCCAACTTTTTCGGAAGGGAAGCCACAACAACCACGCGATGATTTGCAGCAGCAGCAGTCAGCTCAACATAAACGTAAGAAAAAATCATCATCATCATCATCACCTCCTCGTGATCATTCTTTTCAAAATGACGGCTCCTCTGCTGTGGCACAGAAACAACTTGACAATCTCAACGAGAACGAAAATGATGACGGTGACAAAGCAGCGACTGCAGTTACCACAAGCGCAAACAGGAGGGAGAGCAGCGGCATTTATTTGGAGCCGTCTCCTCGCAACGCCAGGACTATGATCTGCAAAATGAACACAACTTCGACTGATATGGAGAACGCAATCGACAACAACGACGCTGAAAACGACGACGAGGATAACGAATCGAGCATCGCCGACCTCAACAACATCGACCCAAGATGGCGCCACTTCTTCGGCGGTAGTTGTTCGATGGCTCTGGTGGCTTCGTCGACTGTTGCGTCTGTCTTGGAGCGCAGACGCACGTCTCTGAAGCGTAATAACACCGACGACTCCGAAGTTGAACGGAGAGTGGCGAGGCTGTTGAAAGAAATTGAAATGAGTGCCACCGACAGCTTGGAGGATCAACAACAGACGATGTCTATCTACCAATTGAACAGAGAAGAGCCAGAAAGAGATTACAATTTCAAATTTGCTCAAAAACAAATCAACCGTAAACACAAGCGAAAACATTGTCGTCCTTTGGTTAATGTGCCTGTCGCCTCGAAATCTGTTGGCACCGAACCTACAGAAAAGTGCCCTGTCCGTAGCATATCACATGGTCAGTTTACATCATGTTTGCTTCAAAATTTTTAAAGCAAAATTTTTGTTGTTTATGATTTTGAATGAGTATTGTATATTTTATTGATATTGTGTTCACGAAATGTAACGAATAATTGTTAGAACGTAATTCACAGCGTTCAAGTTGAAGCTGTACGATTGCTAAAATCACATGCGAATATAAAAATGTTTGATTAAAATATTAAAAAGTACATCCTTACTTTTTCTTCCCCACATATGACGTCAACATGTTAAATTCTAATATATAAATTTTATTTTAAATGAATTTCTAAAATTTCAAGACAGCGACAAACCGTCAGAAGGTGACCTCGAAAGTTTGGCCAGCCGAACGAAGCAAAGAAGAAACTCGTACGCGGCCACAGGAATCATCCGCAGGCAGGCCATCGCCTCATCCTCCTCCTCCTCCCAGCCCACATCCCTGTTGATATCGTCATCTTCATTCAGCTCAAGAACCAACAGAAGCGCTGAAACTCAGACCTTCGCCTTCGACAGCTTCGATTGGAAGAGACCACCGACGAAGTTTTTAAGCTTCGCCAGGCGAGATGTGGGCACAAGCGGGCAGGAAACATCTGCATTAACGAGTGAGATGAAGGGCCGAGATAACTACGGCAGCTTCAAGGAAAACTTGAAGCGCCTCAGTCCATCAGATAACGATCGCAACATCGAAAACATCGCCGTTCAATCGGCAGCCTCAAAAGAACACCAAGCATCGGCAGCAGCGTCATCGGCTGCAGCGTCATCGGCTGCAGCGCATCTTAATACTTCGTCGACAAGTTCCTTAACGAGGAATGCCAACAAGTTGAAGCTCATCGCCAAGTCAGTGCCACAAGTCCTCGTCGCTGAGTGCAGTAAGCTGGTGGCGAGACGGGGTGGTAATGGAGGGTCGGGGAAAGATAAATGTAAGTTGTGAAAAGATGACAACTGTTTTTGTAGTGCTCACCTAATCTATGCCGGTGCGTGTGTGTGTGTGAGTTTGTGTGCATGTTTGTGTGTGTGCGTGTGTGCGTGCGAGTGTGTGCAAATGTGGGTGCATGCGTTTGTTAGTTTTTTTTCCCGTGTCGTTTCGTTAACATAATGAAAGCGTGGAACCGAAGCAAAAAAGATATGTATGATTAATCTCAAACAAAAACATCATTGTTACATTCAAGCAATAAGCCCTATTAAACCTGGCAAATCTAGCAGCAGAGAGGCTCTTCCTCATTTTGTACCCATCCATCGCAATCCTTCATTAGAAGACAATTTCAACATTGACCACCAGTTTTATTAAATTGATAATTGTCTTAATTTTTCCTCATTCATTCATTCATTCATTCATTCATTCATTCATTCATTCATTCATTCATTCATTCATTCATTCATTCGTTCGTTCGTTCGTTCCTTCAATCATTCTTTTGTTCGTTCCTTCATTCATTCATTCATTCGTTTGTTTATTCGTTGTTTTTGTTCCTTTGTATGTTCATTCACCAATTAGCTCATTCACCAATTAGCTCATTCATTAATTCACTCACTCACTCACTCACTCACTCACTCACTCACTCACTCACTCACTCACTCACTCACTCACTCACTCATTCACTCACTCACTCACTCACTCACTCACTCACTCACTCACTCACTCACTCACGCACACTCTACAGTTATAATATGGTATTGTTTGAATGAATGTTGTTTAAAACATTATTCCAATTAAATTTCGTAAAACATACCGTGTTTTTTAGTCGTTTGTGATCTGATTTGGTGTTTCAACTCGTGCAGCGTATTCTAAACGTTCGCGGTATTATAATTGTATCAATTCTGGTATATTTCAAATCTATGTGGTATTTTTCAAATTGGATCGTGTTCGTATTAATGCGTTGCCCGTGTATAGTATATCATACAAATACAGTTCATTTGATGAAATAAAATAGAGTATTAATGCCTATACCTAAGTATTGCTGGGTATTCTAGCGTATTGTCAAATAGATTTTCGTATTTTGTGGTGTTTTCTTTTAATGAAATTATTTTCAGCAGCCATTTTAAATTAATTATAATAAAAGTAATAACTATAAATATTATTTTGCTTAGTTTTTTTTTGGTTGGTTATATTTGAGACAAATAACTGTAAAATATATTTTTATTGTGAAATATTGTATTGAAAATAAATATTGTTTAAACGCATATACAGTTTTCAACCAGGAAGAAAAAAAAATTATTACTAAAAAACATCTGAAAAACGAAAAAGCAAACAAACTCAGACATTCGCAAATGCGCTCTGTATGAAATTTAAATACGGACCAATGGATGAAGAGATAGGAAAATTTGAATGTCAAGCTGAAATTCAAAACTAAAAATCCATTTTATACACTGTATATATAAATAACTAACAATAACTATGTACGTGTATGCATGTATATATGCAAGTATGTATGTAAGTATGCATGTATGTATGTATGTATGTATGTATGTATGTATCTAGGTATGTATGTATGTGTGCATGTATGTATGTGTGTATGTATGTGTGTATAAATAAATGTAGTATACTTTTGTTTGCGAGCAATTGTGTATGTAGTTTTTTAAATAGTGTGCGTGTAAGCTCTACCAACTGAAATGAATTACACAGAGGTATTTTTTAAACGACAGTCTTCTTTATATTGCATAATTAATTAATTAATTAGTGATAACAAATCTCACATAATTAATACATAATTAATTATGTGAAATTAATTGATACATAATTAATTAGTGCTAACAAATATCACTTGGACAAATTACAACACACGTGAATGTACAACACATAGCAATAGTTCAACTTAGTTTGGCACAGAAAAAATTTTGATAAAATTAATTGTGTCAATGTAGTATGTCTAATCTGTGTGAGAGAGTAAAAGAGAGAGAGAGAGAAAGAAAGGGGGAGAGAAAGAGAGGATGTTATATCAGGAGGTGTAATTATTTATGATTTGTTAATATTTCGAAACAATCCTTCGATCAATCAAATATAATTAATAACTTTTATTACGACAATAATATTTAGATTAAGAATTATGTTTATTTTGTAATGGAATTAGCAACATACATACACGTACGCACGTACACACACACACGCACGCATACATATTATATATAAACTAAACATATGTAGTAGCAAGTAGCAAGAGTAAGAAAGAAAGGGAGAGG